GCCACTGCCGTCGCGCTACGCCATCCGCGTGGCGCACCGGCCCGGGCAGCTCAGCACGCTGGAAGCCGGCCTGCATGCGCTGGCCGCGCTGGAGGGCGGGGCCGCGCCCTTCGAGCCGCTGTGGGCGGCGTTCGACCAGTTCGTGGCCGCGTCGCTCGCCCGCCGGGCTCAGATGCCCTTGCGGCAGACCTGCTGATAGACGACGCTGCCGTCCGCCTGGACGACCGGCACCCAGTAGCACTTGATGCCATGGCCGATCGACGTGCCGCCCTCGGCACGGGCGACGGGGGCGGTGAAGGCGACGGCGGCGGTGAGGCTGACGGCGAGCAGGCTGATGAGGGTCTTGCGCATGAAGTGCTCCTGAGGGGGGACGCCGGGTCGGCCCGGCCCGAAGGACAGAGCGGCTTCCATGCCAGCCGGCTTTTCACGCCGAATCAAGCACTTGGCGCTGCATCGGCCCACGGGCTGGGGCATTTCCCCCAGGCGACACCGGCCCGGGTGGGGCAGATGCCCCGGGGCGTCGGCTGCCCACGCGGGTTTTTGCAGGGCGACTTCTGACGTCGCCGGGCGCGTGGCCTAGCATGCGCGGATGTTCGCCCCGCTCCGCCCCCTGTTCCTGGCCCTGCTGGCCGCTCCCCTGCTCGCGCTCGCGGCACCGCCCGAAGCCGCCACCGAGCACGTCAAGGCCCGCCTGGTGTCCGGCCATGCCGCCGTGGCGCCCGGTCAGAAGTTCACGGTCGCGCTGGAGCAGAACATCAAGTCGCACTGGCACACCTACTGGCTCAACCCCGGCGACTCCGGCCAGGCCACCACCATCGACTGGACCGGCACCCAGGCCGGCCCCATTCAGTGGCCGACACCGTCCGTGCAGGCCATCGGCCCCATCGTCAACTACGGCTACGAGGGCCGTCCGGCGCTGCTGATGGACCTGACCGGTGCCGGCGGATGCCAAGCCGGGCAGCCGCTTCCAGCCGACCGCCGAGGTGCGCTGGCTGGTCTGCAAGGACGTCTGCATCCCCGAGCAGGTGTCGATGGGCCTGGACCTGCCCGTGGCCGCCGAAGCCAAGCCGGGCGCCGATGCAGCCCAGATCGAGGAATGGCGTGCCGCCATCCCCAAGCCCGCGCCGTTCGCCGTGAAGCTGGCCGCCGCGCCGCAGGGCATGCGCCTGAGCGGACCGACCCCGGGCGTCACCAAAGCCTACTTCTTCGCCGACACCTGGGGCGCCGTCGCCCACAG